TTATTACAAATTTTTATGCACAACTAACAATAAAATTTATTTCTTTGCAATTCAACTCTGCACCATTTCGCATAATTTTTGGTAATATTTTGCAAGTATCTACGTCTATAACTTTTTTACGGTCTATGGAGTAATTTGCGTCACTATTTGCATAATAAATCTGCAGCAAAACAAACAAAAGTACTCACGTAGCTGAAAATGAAAAACTGTTTATGACTTCTGCCGCCAGACGGTCAAATTGTGCTGCTAATAAACTGGCAGCCGCTTTACGAAAAACAGACCGTCAATGGTGTGGCAAGCAAACGAAGAAAAAAATAAGCTGAAAAAAAAAAAATATTATAAAAAACTCTAACGGCAAAACTTTTGATCTTTTCTTGAAAAAGTAAGAAAAATAAAATGTAGTTTTTCAAAGCTTATACATAAATATAAATATGTACTTATAAACGAAACCTCTTTAGTCTACGATAAGTCATTTGCATAAGCGGCTTGCCAAAGCCCACACAAGTAGCACTTATCCACTCACCGACTAAAAGGTAGCAAATCCACTCAGGTAAACACACGCATACAAGTGCTTACATACACCTAAGTACATCCATATATGTGTAAATGTATAGCTACATACACAGGCGCATTAAGCGCTCCACGTTTTTACATATACATATATTGCGTTTTGTTATCGTTTGGTGAAAATTTAGAGCAAGCCACATTTCAGTCATAAACCAAATACACACTCGACGGGTACTATAAAAAGGCTCGACTTGCAGCATGAGTCCATTTATTTCTTTTGTTTTAACGGTTTGTAGGGAAATTGCAAAACAAATATCAAACAGAAAGCATTTCATTCGAGCCATTTTTATACGCAAGCGCACTTGTGTACAAGGGTATTGTAAACTTGTTCGAATAACGGTTGATTGTATGGATCAGTCTTTGTCAATTCGACCAATGCATTATGGGTAAATTGAGCCATTTTTGTGGCTAGAATTAATTATGACCAAAAAAGAAACCCGTCTTAACGCTCGACGACCGAAGGATCAAATGTGGTCACTTTTAAATTCGCGGTTTTATTAAAAAAATTTGAGTGCAGTTTTTTTCAAAATATCTACTCTAAAGAAAAAAAAATGTCACTTAATTACAAATACAATTATACAGTGGCTAATTTGAAAAAAATGTTGGCAAAGTACAGGAAAAAATAATAAGAAAAATATAATAATTTATTTTTCGCTCCAAATAAAATATTAAAAAAAAAAAGTTAAACATCTTGAAAGTTCTTACTTTTCTTTTTATTTCCTATATTTTTGTAAATTTTGTATACAATTATCTATTAACTTAAATATGATTGTTCGAAAATAGCTAAACAAAGAGAACACAAAATCGATTCCAATATTTGACTCCCAGACCACGACTATGACCACCTGCTAAGCAGTTGTCCTTTGTTTTTTACAAAAACAAAAGATATCGTTATTTGGTTTGAAGTTTTTCTTATGAAATACCTAGGAGAAAAAGTTTTTTTTTTTGTAAGTACGAAAAGCGACTTTTTGCCACATAAACACATAGTGGTTGGAATCGACCATTTTTGTGAATGATTAAATTTAGTCCCAACTTTCCTTTTACCATATAACAAAGTTCTGCAAAACGAAAAAAAAAAATTAAATGGTTTTTCCAAGCTTGTGTCAAAATCAAATTCCGGGATTTTACAAGTTTATTTTTTGAATATCTCAAAAACTATTAAAGTTACCAGAATCGTTTTGGTCTCTACACAAAAAAGGTATATAAAAACAAGTAAGAAAGTCTAAGTTCGGGCGGAGCCGAACATTAAATACCCGGCGCAAGTATTAATTATATGTTTTTTCACCTTTCCGAAAGCTACCGCTAGATGGTAAGACGGGGTGTATCAATTTTGAGTAAATTAGCGACCTTCAATTTCGAAATATGGAAGTTTCAAGCATTTCTGAAATTTACCGTTATATGAAAAGCATCCGTAATTTTAGTCCGATTTCAATAATTTTCAACGTTTTTCTTGTATGTGGCAAGCACAATAACCACACGGAGTTTGGTACAAATTGGTAGAACGGTTATCGATAGACATATATGTGGTCAAAAGTGGGCGGTTCAATACCAACCTACCTTGGATTAAGGGAAACCTTCATACCAAATTTCATTGAGATATCTCAATTTTTGCTCGAGTTATCGTGTACACGGACGGACGGACAGACGGACAGACGGACGGACAGACAGACATGGCTTAATCGATTTCTTTTTTCATCCTGATCATTTATGTATACAGTTGTCTATATCTATCTCGATTCGTTTTGGCTGTTAAAAACAACCGTTATGTGAACAAAATTAATATACCCTTGTGACAAGTGCGCTCGGGTATAAAAATTCAAGTATTATACAATTCCCAGAATTTTAGAATTTCAAAAATTGCAAAAAACCAAAAAAATTATAAAAATGTTTGGCTAAATTTTTGTTGCAACACCTCCAACTGATCTTAAAAGATGTTGAAATTTTCAAGGTGTTTTTTTTTTAATATAAAGAATTTTTGAACTTTGTTTTCAACACCTTCAACTGATCTTAAAGGGATCCTGCAATTTTAAAGGTGTTTTTTTAAGATATAAATTTTTGAACTTAGAAAAAATATGTGCTCCAAGTACACCCCAGATATTCAAAAATTTAAGTTGCAAAATCCGAAAAATTTTGAACTTTGAAAAAAAAAAAAATTTATTTTTTCACCACTGGTATTGAACTTTTTACCTCGCAATTTTTGTTAGGAAAAATAGCAAAGTCTTAGCGGTAGACATTATAGTTGCTTTTTTAGACATCACCACACCTCCTCATCAGATTCCTTTTTTCTTGACTTCAGCAGGGATCGAACCCGTCGTGCACACCCCGTAAACTCTTGCTGCTATTTTTCTTTTTTTTTCTTTTGGAAGAACTTCGTTACATGATAAAAGAAAACTGAAATTCATCCAAATCAAAAATAGTCGACTTGAATCATTAGTCGATTTGGCACCAAAGCCTGTCATATAAAAGTAGTTTACAGTAGTTTACACATTTGAAAAAAAAAACGATATTAAATACTTATACTCCTCAACTTGTTATTATGTGTTAATGGGCTGCCCCCAAAAACTAGATTTTTAGCGTGGAACATGCAATCGAGTATTTTGGGACGAAGCAAACTCTAACACTAACTAGGAGTGCGAGCGATGTTAAACGAGCACATTTGGGAAATGTGTGAAACGCCTCCAACCGACCCCCATCCGCTATGCGCAACAGGGTGTTTCGGCCAAACTACTCATTACAGTTGAGCGCTAAGGAGGATAAACCGACTTCCTGTTCGCCAAAAACAAAAAAAACAAAAAATGCCCCAGCTAATAGTAAACTCTACCCTCAGCAAAATTTTACGATTTGCTAGAGTGCATGTAATCAGTATTGTATAGCATACGTTTAGGCGTGCATACCCCTTTAGTACTCACTGAGAGTGAGATGAGCTTTGTAGCTGTTGGAAAAAATTCAAATAACAGCAACAGCATTGTTGGGGCGCTAACAAGTTGAATAGGATGGCAAAGTGGAAACAGCGCAGTGCACCGCCTTACGACCCCACTATCAACATCACCGCCAGCATTTCATCAGTGCAATAATTATATTGCGTTGCAACGACAAACACACAGATGTTTCTATATAACTACATACATACATATAGCAAATCGCAGCGCATTAGCACAAGTGGCACAAAAGCTTACCAGCAACTGCAACAACAATAAACTGCTGCTTTTTTCACGTTGCTGTGGCTGTGGCATCGTAAAGTAGCTCATCAACTGTGATGCCTTTTGTTGCTCGCTAAGATCTAGTGGATGAGGTACTCATAATAAGTTGTTTGCTCTTGTTGTTGTTGTCGACACTTGTTGCTCTGCGAGCTAAAGCAATGCATCTGACTTTTTTTCATACATATGTACATACGAATATGTGCATTCTATGTCACACACCTATACATATTTATTTTTAAAGCCACGAGATCCTTAAGTTAATTCTTTTTTATCCTAAACTTATAAAGTCGAAAGGAATTGATTCGAGGATCTGATCGTGTATACATATATTGGTCCTTAAAAAGTATTGGAAATTTTTAACACCTAACCGTCCTTGGGCCCCAAAAAAGTTGATCATTTCCAATTCTGTTATTATTTGGTAGCCTTGAGCTTGAGGAAGATTTCTATGGTATAGCTTCCGAAAATTAGACTGAAATTCATTATGTAAATAGTTTTTGAGCCAGGTAATAGAAACAATATCATTTTATATAATAACATTTTATATAATAATTTTTAGTATGGTTTTAAAGCCAATTCAATTTTAATATAACAAAGGTTAATTTTGAGTTTGCAAAAAAAAAACACAGTCTGCCTTGATTCCGTTATGCCATTCATTATTAATTACCTTCAACGCCGCTGCTTGCCCATACTAAGTCTGCGTCCACAGTTTGAATTCTCTTAGTATTTGGGCCCTTATTGTGGCTGCGCCCGTTGCGAGTACTTCAGGTGGCCCGTTTTTCTCGAAGGCCCTTTTACAGGTATGTTTTGTACGTTGCTAGGCTCTTCTTTGCTCTTTGCTCTACGTTACACTTCCAAGTAAGTTCGGAGTCAAGGATAATACCCAAGTATTTCGCCTCGGAAGAAAGCCTACTGGACTCATAGTATTACAAACAATCAGGCAACAAGATTTTAGATTTTTCTTGTTAAAAAAAAAAAAAAAAAATAATGCTTATTTGTAAACCATTTAACCTATACTTTTCTTAGATTTAATAAACATTTTAATTTCCAGTTGCATTTTTACTTTCCGGTGCTGTAACCACGTACACATATCTTTCGTGCGTGGGCTATTATCAATGTAGACTCCCACATACATACATACATATATATGTATGTGTGTAGCAAGTAAGTATGTTTATGAGCATGTTGATGGATGCATGTACATACGTGTCACACACATATACCATAACTACTCACCTATTATGACGTGCACATAAACCGAGGATGTCTTCGCTATCGTTGGCACGCATGTATAATTTCCGGTATCACTGGGCATGGCACGACGAATTTTCAATCTACGAAAGATAAAAGCGATGTGTTAGAAAGGAAAAGTTGAAAGTAAAAAGCAAAGTGTTTGAATAAAAGGAGTTAACTATAACGGTATGAACTGGGTTTGTTCAAAAGTTTGTAGATATTCATGTAAGTGCTATATGCATATGTATATCTATTTCTATGCGGGAACTTTACAAAGGCTGAATAGTGGTGTCTATTACCGCACCGGAAAGCTGCAAATAGCTGTCATATAAAGTTTTATATAAGGAACCAATATAAGTGTTAGTGTTTATTCTTAGTAAAGATTTAACTGTGGTACATTAGCTGTTTAGATACAAGCACTTACCTAAAGATGGATAAATTGATACTAAGAAAGGTGTATATGTCAGGGAATAGCATTGGTTGATCGTCAACTGTTCATACTCATTCAATACCGCTGCTTTGTATGACTGAGCAGCGGCGTTGGCTTAGTAGTATCGATACCTAAACCAAATTAGAGGATGACTGAACACGAGCGCACTGTGTGCTGTCTTGCAAATACAGCCACCACAAGTGAACGATGCTTATAACTGCTCATACTGATATTGACTTCGGCAAATCTGTACTCTGAATGATCGTGCACGAAACCAGCAAACGTGGCAGTTGAACGGCTCCGAAAACATGAGAGTCATCATTTGTTGCAGAAGTCGTTTGACTTGTTGCTGAAAATCATCTGACTTGTTGCTGAAATGACGACGAATGTGGTAAAGGGTAATTTATCGTCTCGTATGCATGTATGTATGTATTTATAGCGCGTCTACCATTCAATTGCATTGCTCACTGCTGGCTAGTTGTGAGGAATGTGCATACGTACGTATGTATGTATGTACATATCAATGCTTCATTTCAAACAAGCAAGTGTCTTTGAATGTTTTTGAACTACAGTATCATCACTTCGGCAACACGTCAAACGCGCCTTCAGCAACAAACCAAAGGCGGCGGTTTGACTTCTGCAACAAATCAAGTTAGCTAACTGCGGCATCTTGCCTTCGCCAGTCTTTCACATAAGCTGTCATGCTTTCGGCAACCGTCCAAATGCAGTATCGTGCTTATGGCTGTCGATCAAATACGCCGGTTGCTGGCTTCGTGCACGATCATTCGGAGTACAGATTTGCCGAAGTCAATATCAGTATGAGCTGTTATAAGCATCGTTCACTTGTGGTGGCTGTATTTGCAAGACAGCACGCTTTGCGGTGGTGTTCGTTCATCCTCCGTTTTTAACGTGAGTAGGCTTAAAGTCACAAAAACAGCACCCTTTGCCAATGTCTGGTATATGTGTCATGATTATATAGCCAATAGTAACCCATTGTTGCGGTTGTGGCATTTTTGAGGACGACGCTATCAACCAAGTTAGAGATAGAGCTTCCACCACTACAACTAGCCATAGAGAAGGCATTCTGCTAAAGAAATGACAACTAAGTTTGTAATATTTTTTTTCTCTGAAATGAGACCAGTCAAGTAGCATTCTGAAATGTCTCCTCGTATGAGATCAATTTGTTTGAAATGATCTCTTTATGTTTAATTCTGGATAACCATAACTTTTTAGAGGCTCATGTTTACGCAGAGGAAGGAGGGTAAAGTATTAACTAACCCCCGTAAAGACACTTAGATAAGGAGTTCTTTCAGGTAAGCTCCCATGACAAAATCGGATAAAAAGATACTTGAATAAAGTAAAGCGGTTTGATAAGCTGCTAGTTTTTAAGTTGCGGAAAGTATATTTTTTCGTAAAAAAGCATTTGATTTATGGCTATATCTTCGAAAGTTTAGTTCAATATTTTAACAATTAACAAACTGTTTGAAGAACTTCAAAACCTCAAAACAAGCGTTTGCTTAAAGAGCGACCTAACTATGGAAGTATTTAAGGCTTTGAAAAATTAAAAAGCGGCGTAGCCGCGAAATATCTGTATAGGGAACGAATTTGGAGCACAAGATATGGATTTTTGGTAAGGCGAATTCAATTTGCCACTTTTGTAGAAATTCGCCATGTTTTCTGCTTCAAGTGGCTGTCATAAACAATGCAACCTCTGACGTGGTCTATTTTGTGTGGCCGCTCACCCTATATGCGAAGGCTTTTAATGTAGCCTAGCAATTACAAGGGCTTTTTATTCTATATTTTAAACTGAATAAGTTGTATGCTATCAACGATTAAAGTCTGCTTCCGGCGAGAGCAACATATCCACAGACTATATTATGGCGCTTCTTCGAAATCGACAAGCCTTCGTGTAAGACTTGTAAGACTGGTTCGTCTTACCGTGATAGCGAAAGAAGCAGTGTTCTGTGGTGTAGTATCTACCGTACGCAGCCTGCAGCACGATATGCTTCTTATTTTTATATGGGACCTTTGGTCGTATTTTTGTCTAAAAAACCGGGATGACCTCATATCATAGATTTTTTGATGCTGACTTGAAGTGCATCTACAAAAGTTTTCTAGCACATCCAGTTTTTGAGAAAAAAACTGTTGAATTGTCGATAAAGCTGATGCCACATAAAACGTTTGCTTCGCTTTACGTGACAGATTCGCTTTGACAGCTAAGATGAATTGTATGAAAATGCACAAAGCATGCCACATAGATCATTGAAGCTGCAGCGCGAAGCGAAAAGATGGCCAACTCCCATCTTTTTGCGCGCTTTGACAATCAGCCGGTTTAATATTTATTTTGTTTCGTCCAAATTCGAGTATTCATGCTGAAACATAAAACTCAATTACATTGCTGATAATTTTAAAGCAAAATATCTTAAATCCACAGCAATTTTGACGAGTAAAAAATTGATTTCTTGGCGTTCATTGTGGCATACCTTTTGCGTCTGGCGCTTTGCTGGCAAAGTTATAAATGTCACGCAAAGCTACAAAGTTTTATCTGGCATCAGCTTAAATGGTGAAAGTGGCAAACTTCAAAAAAATAATTAAAAATATAATTGGAACGAAGAAAAAAACACGTATTAATGAAAAACCAATTCGCCTGACAGATACTGCCGCATGTCACCGAATTGAAGAGAAAAGGGTGAAAAAGTAAAAAAAAACTTAGTAGAAGAACGAACACTCGCGAATAACATGGCGAATGATTCCACCAGAACTTAGCCACCAAGGAGAAGTGGTAGGATAGGAAATCAAACCTCCACAAGCGGTGATAAGGGGGCCCAGAAAAAAATTTTTCAGGATTTTATTACAGACCGCGGAAAGTGTTAACAGACAAAACTCTGGCTGATGATGAATCTGGGATATTGAATTTTTAATGTTGATTTGTTCATGAAATCACCTTGTTTTCAAAATAAATTCATAAATTGAAATTTTCGTATTTGTGGGAAAACAAATGCATGCTATTGAATAACTGAGCGTTTTTTTTTAATTTTCATCCCTCTCTAATCAACTCATCAGACGATTTGTATTTTCATTAATACGAGGTTTTCTTCTTCGGAAAAACTACGTCAAAATTCGATTTTTTGCCATTTTTTGACACTTCAACAGTTTTTTCTCAAAAACTTGACTTGCTAGAAAAATTTTGTAAATGCACTTCAAACCAAATTTTGAAATGAAATACGACCAAATTTTGTTGAACCGTGTAGTCTATGACTCAAAACGAATGCCGATTTCTTTTCTACCGAAAAATGCAACCTTCTCTTAGCCCTCTACGCACAAACACTAAAGAGGACGATGAGAAAGCAACGTTTTTTGTAGAAACGAAACCGCCATAAATTTACGTGTATCGGCGTTTCTTTTTGTGCAACTTAAAAACTTGAGATTTTCCCTAAAGTGTAATTTATTGACTGAAACTAGATAAACGAAATACGCATTACTAAAATAATTGTTAAAGTACTTGTTCTACTACGAATGGCAGTTCAATGAAATGCCTGTCTTCTAACCCAAGTTGCTGGCATGCCACGGCGTATGAGTGACAACAAGGTCGAATATCAATATCAATATTTTGTCGCTGGAAATCTTTTGTTTATTAATTTATTGCTATGATTTCAAAGAAAAAGATGAAGATTATTAACTTCTGTTCGCAAACCAGCCTAGAGCACCTACTATGCTACTGGTTGGTTTATCTCTTATTCCTAATATATTTTAGCTTAAAGTGAAAATAATATATGCACGTACATAACTGAAAACTATAAGGACAACATTTTATTTGCCAAACACAAAAAAAATTATTAAAATTAGTTGCATTCTAATAAACTTTCACACAAAAAAAAAAGGTAGAAACATGATAAAAATATAGTAAGGTAGAACCGCTGAGAGTCACTTTTAAAATTCTTGACGTTTCCAAACAATTTAATTTTTAAATTTACTCACAAACTCACACACACATTTTCATTTTCAATCTCAAGCAACAACAATTTCGAACAATTTCATTTTTTTATTTTCACTTTTATATGATTTTAAAATGTTGGCAAACTTCAAAAAAAAATCATGGCCGACAAATTGAGAGAACGGTTATACCTTGCTATGTTTTTATCATGGGTAGAAATACTTAAATTAACAAAACTCCAGCAACGCTGCCGTATATATGTACATAATTTACTTAGCCTTAGGCTCACCTCGATGTCAATCCATCTGTCCAGTCGTTGTCGACACTAATGCGCGTCCCGCTGTCGATCTCATTTAGATTCGCTGACATGTCAATAATTTCATTGCCTGAAATTTAATTGAAAAGTTTGAGTGAAGCCTACGTGAAATAGTGATGCTGAAAAACAAGTAAAAATGCGTACAACTACATCAGCAGCAAATGAGGAAAAAAACAAATGAAAAGCTATGCGTATAGAAGCCGTAAATGAAATGAGCGAAAAGGAAAGGCAGAGCGTGAATGCGGTCATTGTGTTAAATGAAAAGGAATTGAAATGAGCGGCAGTGTTCCAATTGTGAATATATTCATGCCATTTTTTATATGCGTACATACATACATACATATGTAGGTATCACAAATATAGATGCGTGTGTGCGCACGTGTGCTATGCCGCAATTATGCGCTTTTAATTGTCACATCAATTACGTGTTGGCGCATTTGCAACATAATTGAGTAAAGTAATTTACGTTTGCATCATTTTACTACTACCCGGCCTTGCTAACTGTTGCCATTGTTGCTGAGACTGTTGCTGTTGCNAACATAATTGAGTAAAGTAATTTACGTTTGCATCATTTTACTACTACCCGCATTGCTAACTATTGCCATTGTTGCTGAGGCTGTTGCTGTTGCTGCTGCTGCTGCTAAATTATTCAACAGCTGACGAGACTGGCAGGCTGTTGCTGCTGTTGTTGTTGTCGTACTGCTTATACGGCATCATTGTTATGGGTGAGATGTGATTGAAATGCGAAGTGTTGAGGCGAAAAAAGTGACGCCTTGCCAATGGTAATACCGTTGATGAGTTCTTTTTTCACTGTTGCCAGCCCTGCTTAACACAATTAATGCGATTGTCGAAGCAATGGCGTCAGTTAATGTCAAACAGCACAACAGCTACAGCTAAAGCTATGTATGTATGTGTGTGGCAACAGCAGAAGCGTGGAGTGACAAGGAGAAAAGTTTTAATTAATTTGTGGCTCAGTGCGAACAAAAGCAAGTAAGGCAACAAGAATAAAGCTGAAGCGCATAAAAAATGTGTTCTTTTTTTCTTTTGAATATGCAAAAGTATGCATCAACTACTATGTGTACATATGTATGTAAGTATGTATTGGGATTTATATTAAGTTGCGTATACGCACCTTTGTACCAAAATATGTTGCCCAATTCGTGCGGTCCTTGCATGATGCGACATGTTAGATTTATATCGCTGCCGCTTTTCACATACAGATCCGATGGCCCGATTATGTTGGCTTTAAGCTCTGTTGAATACATGTAACGAAACAAAGTGATAATATCAGTTAGCACTGTTTGTATGTATGTATATTTTATTCAATTGTGTTAGTAAAAGGAAAGTTAATTTCAACAAAGTTTGTGAATTTTTGGTGATATACAGTTGAGTGACAGTTTTAGCTCTGTAGGTAGTGGGAAGAATGTAGTTTTGGTTGACTATTTGTTAGTTTATTTATTTAGTGTTTCTTAAGTCTCTAAAATCAATAAAAAGACTTGTTAGTGGATATGAGAATAATGGGAAACAGTCCCTGGGGGAGCTACAAATTAACTATGAACTCATTTAATTTGCAAGTAAAGTTTTCGCTAACTTATTGAGTTGGAGATGCCAAAACTTAAACGGCAGAAGGCGTTTTGAATTAATAGGTATTTATATAGGTAGGTAATGTTTCCAAAGTTTTGGAAATAATGCCTTAATTAAATTATGCAGAACTTATACGGATGTTATGTTGAAAAACTACAAAATAACAAAACAATAGAAATTATAGCGAAATTCCCAGAACTTTGGAAACATCCACCGTTCCTATATCTGCGGCAAATTTCGGCTAAAAATAAATTCATCTGGCAAGAAGTTACCTTACACTGGCGGCAGAAATAATAGACTCGGCGTATTTTAGGAATTTCGGCTATATTTCTTTAGTTTATTTTAAGTTTGGTATTTCTTTATAAAAGCCTAGGTCGTTATACAAAAAGCAGAATATCACTTTGAACAAAAATAATAAAACTTCGACAAATTTTCAAACTTTTTATTCAGAATATTTAGAAATTTTATTACAATAAAGTGCAAGGCTACAAAATACCGTTGTTTTTTAAGAGTTTTTTTTTTCTGGCGGTGTCACGCATTTTTTCCCATACAAAGTGTGCTCCACAATATTTTGATATGGAAGAGAATGCCTAGCATCTTCAACAAAAAAAAATTCAAAAATCAACCGCATTTTCTAGCCACTTGAAATTTGCACTTTATTATACTAAAATTGGGCTGCAAAAGTGCATACTAAAAATTTGCACAAAAGTGCAGAATGAAAAGTTAAAAAAGTTGGTGAAAATTTGTGGAATTTTTATAATTTTTGTATAAAGTTTGAAAAGGCGATTTAAATGTCGTTTGTTGTATAACTACCCGGCTTTAATAAAAAAATATTAAACATAAAATAAACTGTGGAAATATAGCCAAAACTCTTCAAAGTAAAGCGAGTCTATTATTTATGCCGCCAGTGTTGTTTTGAAGTGAAATTCCTTTGCGTTCGGTTGCGAGTAAACGCAAACATCGATGCAATGAAAAAGCGGCACAAGGGTTGTGCTATAATTCTAAGCAAAAAAGCTACAGAAGTTGGAAAGGGATGGCGGAAGTGGTTGGCCACGATTAAGATTACGATTAAGGTTAATAACGAGATCGAAATTGATATTAAGATTAAAATAATTGTTCATTATACACGAAGGCATTTTTGTTTAATGTCATCATATCTGCAACGTTCGTTATATTTTCAAAACTGGGGTGGCCAACTAAAGGACGAGGCCTGTTTTTGAAAGGGCTTTATTTCATAGCTATGTACACGCAAGAGGGTTGCCACTTCTTAAAAAAAATGAAATTGAATGTGAATTAAGGGGATTCGGCAATGAAAACATGTATCACTATAAGAATGCCAGACAAAAGAGATTGAAAAAGGTTGAAGTTTGAAAATATTGTGAAATATTGTGTTTGAAAAGTCGGTTGAATTAAATTATGCACAAGTTATATGATCTATTAAAGTATGAGCGTTAAACGTAAGAGCGGTAAGAAATCTTTTATTTAAAAACTTAACCATATTTTCCGAGGTATTTGAAGAAGGTTGCCACCAGTTTAAAAAGTTAAATTAAAATTATTTAAAATATTAAATGAACTACTAAAAGTTGTTTATCAATCGAAATGGGTTTAAAAAGCCTTTATGTAAAAACTATTTATGGCAAGGTTGCCACGTATTTGAAAAATCAAATTAAATTTAATTCACTAGTTAGTTACAATATGCATGTCAATGTTAGAGGAAAGAAATTTAAGAAGATTTTAGTTTGAAATGGTTTTGAAAAGTGTTGCCACCCATTTGANAAGAAATTCGGGCTATTCCGGCCGAAATGCTCGAAAAAGTTGCCCAAAATTGGACTTTCCGAATGGACCACCTAAGACGCAGCCGCGGTCAACATTTAAATGAAATTATCTTCAAAAAGTAAATGTCATGGACCAATCTAACGTTTCAAATAAAGAACCGATGAGATTTTGCAAATTTTATGCGTTTTTTTTAAAAAAAAAGGTATCAAGCTCTTAAAAAATCACCCGTTATATGATATATTTAAATGTGAGTGTTATACGAAGGAGTTTCATGAAGGCTTTTGTTTGAAAATACGGTTTGGTTAGGGTTGCCACCTATTGTAAATAACTAAGAAGAAAACAAACTATGTGAGACTTCTCTCTACTCAAAAAGTGCTGGATGGACTGAAATGGAAATTTGGCATAGGATCACTTATAACTATGGCTGTGCGATTGATTACTCGAAATTTTAATTAATCATAAAGTAAATAACTCAATTATTCGATTAATTGGAAATTATGATTACCCAAAGGCTCAGTTACTCGAGTAATCAAAATTTTTGATTAACCAAAAATCAAATATTTGAGGAAGTTGCTTTGTGATTAATCAACATTTCGAGTAAAATGAGTAAACAACATTTCAACTCTTTACATATGAAAACAACGTTTCTGTTTTCAAAAATGAAAATGAAAATTTTTTTTCATGTACAGAATGTAAAAAAGAAAATAAGCATTTTCCTCGATTAATCATCGTTTTGAGTAATCAAAATCTTGATTACTCGAGTAATTGATTAACCGAATAATTGATTAACCAACTTGCTCGAGTAATCGAATAATCGCACAGCCCTACTTATAACTAAGACTAAATTTTGGAATATTCCTTTGGTTTTTGAAGAGGGTTGCCATTGGTTTGAAATATTAAGTTAAATTTAGGTGGGTAATAGAGAAAAAGAAGGTTTACTTCAGGTATGCGTGTGATCTACACACAACCTTTTTTTTTGGTAAATACTCATATTGCAAGGTCTGTTGCCTGGTAGATTTCAGTAGAGATTGAGAAACACCTGGATTTACTCGAATCACCACATTGAGATTCTTCTTCCTATCTGAAACTATAGACAACGAAAGAGCTCGATTTCAATCTCATTTTGAACAAGTAAGAAAGTCTAAGTTCGGGCGGAGCCGAACATTATATACCCGGCGCAAGTATTAAATATATATTTTTTTTCACCTTTCTGAAACCTACCGCTAGATGGTAAGCCGGGGTGTATCAGATTTGAGTAAATTAGCGTCCTTAAATTTCGAAATATTGCATTTCTGAAATTTACCGTTATATGAAAAGCATCCGTAATTTTAGTCCGATTTCAATAATTTTCAACGTTTTTCTTTTATGTGGCAAGCACAATAACCACACCGAGTTTGGTACAAATTGGTAGAACGGTTACCGATAGACATATATGTGGTCAAAAGTGGACGGTGCCACGCCCATTTTCCAAAATTTTAACATAAACATATTTCTTGGTAAAGAATTGTTACAAGCATCGATTTTAAATAAATTAGCTTTATTTAATATTTACTGATTTATATGGGATGTGGGCGTAGTTATTGTCCGATTTTAAAATTTTTTGCCATTTCGTATGCTATACCAAGGTCAACAACTGTGCTAAGTTTGGAAGAAATTGGTGCAGCGGTTACCAAGATATACACATGTAACCATAAGTGGTCGTGGCTACGCCCATTTTCCAAAAATTTATAATATTCTTATTTTTCGTCTGAAAATTATTGTAAATATCAATTTTGAGTGAATTATCTTCAGTAGTTACTAAAATATCGCAGTTTTCGTATTTCTGGAAATGGGCGTGGTTACAGTCCGATTTCGCCCATTTTCAATACCAACCTACCTTGGATTAAGGGAAACCTACATACCAAATTTCGTTGAGATATCTCAATTTTTGCTCGAGTTATCGTGTACACGGACAGACGGACAGACGGACAGACGGACGGACAGACAGACATGGCTTAATCGATTTCTTTTTTCATCCTGATCATTTATGTATACATTTGTCTATATCTATCTCGATTCGTTTTGGCTGTTACAAACAACCGTTATGTGAACAAAATTAATATACCCTTGTGCACAAGTGCGCTCGGGTAAAAAAATAATCGAGTAGTAAAGTATACTTAGCTTTTTGTTCGGATTTTTATGAAAGGTTACAAAAAAATCTTAAAGTTTGTCTCATTTAATCGGCAGAGTAGGTTTAGCATCCGAGTGTGTAAAACAAAATTAACAAAATTTTTAGATACATTTAGAAGTTCTACAGGCAAGAGTAGGACAAGTAGCCTCAGTTTCCAGATCAAGATCTTTGCAAATGATCTCTTAGAAATTCAATGACAAGAAAAGCGAATACCTTTGACAGCCGAGGTCGGCGCACAGCGCAATTAATATTGGTGACATAGCTAATAAACCAATTTTTCGCGTGTTTTGGAAATTATTTTATATTGCCGGAACATACCTTCCTTAAGAAAACAATTCTTTGTTTAAAGGACAAATAGTTGCCTTTTATTACAAACGCAACCATTGTATACAGATCTATTGTGCTGATCCTATAAAAGTTCTCGCCAACCTTAGAGCATTTGTAAAATTAAAAGATTTAGAGGGTGCCACGTCTCAGATGCTGCACCGAGACGATAATCGCTCAGCAAAATATTAAGAGTCTTAAACCTAAATACGAATCGCATAATATATATTCCAGCCACATAATCTGCAGTCGTCAGGTGTGAAAGTGTTCAGACCTTCCGGACTGAAATTTAGTTGTCGTTCCCAGAAACCATTTGGTAATAGCTATACGTTTCTAGATTGCCTTATCCATTTGTGATCCGCCATTCGTTTGTAGTTTGAAAATCCTCCCACTAGGCT